GTGGAACAATTATTATTGTCTACATGACATTTAGCAACATAGCACTTGTCAGAAATAAAGATGTAAGAGACAGAGAAGTGCAGCTATGTTAAATGTTGTCAGATAATGCTATGTTTACTCTCTCAGATGCATGTATGCTGCAGGCACTGAGAGCAAAATAACCACATAGGCTAAAACAGCTTTGCGCAGAAGGGTGTCAGTTAAATGCGACATGGGTTTGGCTTTCATATAGTTCTATCTGGATGATTTTTAATTAGAAGTGTGAGGGTGGCTGTCGTATGTCTAAATTGAAGGCCTTTCGGTTGTATATTAAATATTTTTACTTTCTGTTCTCTACTTTACATTAAATAAATGAGACAGTGAAAAATATGAATAATTGGCATAACACTTCATACAAGACTGGAACTTACAAATCTATAACTAATATAGTAACTTATGTTTCAAATGTTATAAATGAAGGTAATATAAATTTATTCCAGTATAAATTATTTGAAATCACATAATGTAAAATATATTGCCACGTGTTTTTTCATGACACTTCAAGTGCATTTTCATGCTAGTATGGCAACCCACAAGTGCATTAGTGTTGCAGCAGAATCTTTTAAAAGTAATTTGTGTTTTAAAACACAAATTTCCACCAATTTGTACTTCTTTCTGCTGTGTGTTATAAACAAGCATGCACACATATAGACATAAACAGATGTTCTCACCGTATACAGCCACCACAGTCAATGTTCCCTGTGGTCTCTTTGATGGTGCGCTCAGAGACGAAAGCTGGGTATTCAGTGTCACACGGCACCATCATTGTCCTCTGAGCTCTCTGGGCTACACACATGAACACTAAATTCAGCTACTATATGCAAAAAAATCACTGTACAACTAAAATAGTATATAATTATTCATATATATTAAAATTTTTGTTTGCATTATGGTCATGATAGCCAACATGACAGTACAGTGTTTTGCTATGTGTGATTCATGTGTCATCACCTTAGAGTTTAATTGAGATTTATATGCTTTTTTAGTCCTTTATTAGATGAAAATCTAATATATATTATATATCATATGGAAGAAATTAAAAATGATGTCTCACAGGAGCATGTAACCCCATTAACATGTTTCTAAAAGAGTTCCTGTCATCTATGGACTGATACCTTTGACTGTCGAGTCACAGTTCCACCAGCTGTACAGGTTAAACTCCAGCAGAAATCTGTGAAAAAGACACATTCCCACTCAGCAACACAGACTGAAAATCCCAAACTGACAATAATGATTATAAGGAAAAAGGCTTTTTATCTCACATGACAAGTTCTGTCAAGAGACATTTCACAGTGGTGAAGGGCTGAAAGGAAGAGCAGAGCGTGTCAGTGAAATAGAATCCCGAGGCACTGAAGTCAAACACTACAGCACAGATGATAGCGTACTCACATCCAGCAGAGTGTGTGCGCTGTCACTGCTACCTGCGTACTCTTTACAGAGAGCCTGATAGTCATACAAATTAATCCTAGCAGAAACAAAAGCAGAAACAGATTCACTAATAAACACAACCATGGGTTAATGTCTTATTTAACCCCAGGTTAAAGCTACTTTTAACCCTGGGTTAAGAAACATTTCATACATTTTAAAAATTAATTTAGCACCACTTTCGAGCCTGCTTTAGGAGTCATATTTCAGTGCATGTGGTGCTAGAACGAAAAATAACACTTTACAATAAGGCTACATTTGTTAACCACATTAACTAACAATGAAAAATAATTCTAAAGCATTTATTAATCTTAGTTATTGAGGTTTAATTTCAACATTTACTACCACATTATTAAAATCAAAAGTTTATAATATTTAATAGAACTGTGCTAACATGAACAAAAAATTTACAGTTGTATTTTTTAGCTAACATTAACAAAGATTAATAACAACTGCAACAAATGTATAGCTCATAGTTAATGTTAATGAATTAGCCAAAGTTAACTGATATACACTTAGTATAAAGTTTGACCATAATTTCAGAACAGACAACAAATTACAAGCTAAACAATGCAGGTCTCATTAAATATTCATGAGGTACAACATCAGAGAATCTTTTAAGCTCTTTAAGCTTTATATATATATATATATATATATTAAATATAACAATTTAGAGAGTTTTATGCTTAAAAACTATTTGCCTATAGGGCAAAGTAAATCAGGATAATAATTTAGGATGTATTCTCTGAAAACAACTGGACGAATTTGGATACAATGTATCTTGTTTTAACAGTTAAAACGACAAAAAAAACATAATTAATATTAATATTTATATTTATATTAAGCCATATCCAGTCAGTTTTAGTAACATCATAAATATGCAAAATAGAGCTTTTACATTGGGTTTACAGAATGTACAATGTAAAATCTAAAAACTTGACAATGTAGGTTAATTAATTTAACGTTAATCTATTTGTGTGTGTGTGTGTGTGTTCTCTCTCACTTTTTAAATGAGCCCATCAGAAGCAGTTTGTTCATGACGACTCCCTCCACTTCTCCAAAAAAGAGGTTTGTCTGTGCCAAACACATTATGTAAAGTTATAGTTATAGTCATCATAGAAATGCATCCATTTAATTTAATTTCATATTGACACTGGATGGATTTATGTATTTATCTTTGTGTACAACTCTTGTGCTATAATTCTCTGTATGTCATACCTGAGAAGTGTCTTCAGAGACCAGGATGAAGCCATTGTTGTCTATGAGATAACATTTAATGTCCTAATGGGACCAGAAACATAGAATATTCATTTAAATATATGATTCAACAAGCTTTGATCTGTTGTGATCTTCTTAAATCACTACAAACTTCAAGTAAGACATTAAAATTATATGCATTTTATAGCTTTTTATACCAAAGCCATTAATAAAAGACACAGAATTTAAAATGAGAAACGCTACGAGGCATATGTCATAAAAGAAGTGCAGACTGATCTAGCAAGCCTGTCATGTCCCAGAAATGTCCATTGTATAATGAGCATGTGGTGAATACAGGCCATTTTATGAGCTCCATCACTGAAAATATGGCCAAAGGGAGAGAAAGAGAGACACATTTACCTCATTATCACAGCTGATGGTACATTTCCCATCCAGAGCATTGCACTGTGTGGACACATGCAGAGGTAAAAACATGAAGCAAATGTGTACATTAATGACATTTCTATATAGATCCTTGCTTATAAAGAGTTAGATTATTTTCAAACAACATCTATGATAATATAGCATGGTCTCCTATACATTTTTGCTCATAAAATATGTCAAACAGAGCTGTTATGCAGCAGGTAATCATACACAATTCAACACATCAGTCATAGAAGGTCTGGTTTGATAAATAGATATATTTATATTATCATGAGCATATATTTCTGTGCTTACTTGTCGACTGGCCGTCCAAAATTTTCTCTGAAAGAATTCCAGCTTCATTTGAATTCCCACAGCTTTGAGTGTCATAAAACACATTTAATAAAATGACGTTTAGTTGTGTTTGGAAACATTTGTACATTTGAAAAACTATTTGAAATTCATAATACATTCATTTTGCTTTGAAATTAAAAGACAAGTACCTGCCACTATAGGAGACTTCCTGTCATCGAGTAGTTGGATAGCAGTGCTCGCCAAAACCACACTTTTATTTTCTCCCCCTTAAATGAAATATCAAAAATGAACACAAATGCCCTCTTAAGAGTACTTACAACAACATCATCAATGAACATGAGAACTGGAATATTCAATGATCCGCTAAAACTGCTGGTCTCAGTCTCTCCTGAGGGGAAAAACAATGCTAAATACAAATGATAAAATGTAATTAAGCATCTAATTGTGCAAAATTAAGAAACCAAAATAAAAAGACCATTTAGAAAGAGATGCAAAAATAGTATGCATATCTATTATTGTTGACGTCAAAGGTTGCATGTAAAATAAAAATGTACTATTAAGTAGAAATGTATCTGTCACATGGTACAAAGTGGTTAAATTAGACAGATGACCTCCCTAATCATGAATAAAACTACAGAAGATAAAAGAAAATATGACACAGGCTGAATAAAATGCTATTTCTCTTCAAATAAAATGTAAAACATTTTTAATGTTCATACAATAAAATAAAATCTGTTGGATGTCTGCAAAGCCATTTCTCTAAATGGCAAGTCATAACCACCAGGGGGCGACATTTATTTACATAAATATTTATAAGCATAAATCTATTAAGAGGGACTCCTTCGTTTGCATATTCAGATCAAAAGCGGCATTGATTGAAACAAACACTCAGTTACATGATGAAACAGATCTCATTTCTAGCAGTACAGGCAGATGAGGGAGAGTGTTTGATCAGAGAGGAGTTCAGCGCTGTCTGTGTGATAAGGAGCCCAAGAGCTGTTGAGTGGGATGTAATGATCCTGATCTGTCACACACACACACACACACACACACACATAGCGTGAACGTAAAAGTAGGGCACATTAATTACAGGCGAAGGAAAGAGAGATAAGCAGACAGTCTGCGTGAGGAAAGCAGTACAGTGCAGCTAGAGTAACAAACCACACAGAAGTATGCTATAAAGCTGTAATTTGGAAGATCCACCTGAAATATGAGTCAAATGACCATCTATGCAAAGCTAATCATCTGTGTGATATGCTAAAGATGTGTGGTGGAGCAATAGGGGAGTATTAGTGACCACATTTTTTTGATGTTCATTGCAGATTAATGTTGATAACCATTCATTTGAACAATCTCTAAACCACAAGTAGTAAACTTCAATGCATGGTAATTGCAAGTAACCAAAAAAATCGTATATATAATTAAATGTACATACATTTACATACTATATATTTACTATATAAATAATAATAAAAAATAATTATTTAGATATTATATAATCATTTAATTAGATTTTATTCAAAATATATTTAGGATTTAATCATAATGTATGTCATTTTAATTAATTTGTTTTCTTTGAAATGTAATCAAAATTAAATGATAACTTTATTAAAACCATTTTAATGTGCATTAACAGTTTTTTTCTACATGACATCATCCTTAAATTTTGAAGTATGTTGCATGAGATGGGTGTGTGTTTATGTGCTTGAACGTCATACCTGAACTGAAGGGAATGGAGTACACAAAAGTGCCGGGCACCTGCTCTGCGGCTCTTTTATACCACAGAGGAAAGTGATCTGCATTAAAGACGCCCTCCTTGTCTTCAGCAGTGAGGAAATCTCTGCAAACACATGCAGCCGTGGAGGATACTTTACTCCATCGTTCATCATTTACACTTAGAGGCCTTTTATTGGCTAGTGTAATGAGATGAGAATCTGTCATTGGCCGGTCATTTGGACTCACTGATTGGTCAGCTGCTCGGGAACCACAAACAGGTTAGTTCTGGAAAGACCAGTACGAGTGCCGAGAAAAGCGATCTCAACCCCTTTATCAGAGTTCCTAATGATAAAAGCAAACAAAAACAGTTTTAGGCAAGATTCTGTATGTGGCAAGATGGTGTATGAATGGTCTCACAGTTGTCCTAACCAGTCAACCAACAAAATTGACTAAAAACTAGCTGCAAAAACAGCCTGTATAGATTTAAAAGGGAAATGAAAATTCTGTAATTAATTACTCACCGTCATGTCGTTCCAAACCCGTAAGACCTTCTTTCATTTTTGGAACACATGAAGATATTTTTGATGAAATCTGAGAGCTTTCTGACCCTGCATATTCAGCAATGCAACTACCACGTTCAAGGCCCAGAAAGGTAGTAAGGACATCATTAAAATAGCCTGTGGTAGTTGTGTTGCTGTTTATGGAGGGTCAGAAAGCTCTAGGATTTCATCAAAAATAAATATCTTAATTTGTGTTCCGAAGATGAATGAAAGTCTTACGGGTTTGGAACAACATGAGGGTGAGTAATTAATGACAGAATTTTCATTTTTGGGTGAACTATCCCTTTAAGAGACAGACAGAAGGTGGAAAATAGTTATCTAAGACTAAATTTATTAAACTAAGATGCTTCTTAAAGCTAATTTAGTAAATACGACCAAGTAAATGCCCAAACTCACTCAGACTTATTAAGGGCCAGTCCAGTCCAGTACGCTTCTAAGGGAGCCGTTACTACAGCGTCAAACAAAACCTGCTGAATCAGCTCTCTGTCACCTACAACACACACGAGAGGACATTTACACACTCCATTATACTCATCGGACACAGGCTTTCATGGGGACAGTTTTTAAACGACTGAGGTAATTTTGTAAGTAAGATTTAAGATAGATGAAGGACAATGTGGCAAAACTTTGCAGGAGCAACTGCTACTGTACTGTATACTGCAGTATGAAATTGAGCTCATTTAATTGAAAACTGATTGAGCTGAAAAGAAAAATCGTTTGAGAGGTGGAACAACTTGTTATTTTGATGAAAGATTATGAAGACAAACATTTCTCCTTAGAATAATGTGCACTGATGAATCGATTATAATAAGACCAGAAACATGTATTAAGAAAGCAAACATGGTCAAATTTATTTGAAATGCTGCTCACATTTGAGATGTGGTTTACGGCTGGTCATGAAGAGTTTGATGGCCTGAACTTGAGTCAGGTGACGATGCTCATGGTGCTCATCTGTGTTACAGTATGTCCTGAAATAACAGAAAATGGCACAATATATTACTTGTGTGATTAATAAAACTAACAGAACATGTTATAGGCTTCTGTAGCCTATGTTGAGTATAAATAGAGGTCTTTACCATTCATCAGCAAGGGCAACATCGGGTTGTTCCAGATCATGTAGACCTAAAAAACAAGCGTAGATAAGAGTTTAGAGAGAATTTCTACATGCTTTCTGTTTATACTGTTTATAATTCGCAAGTAGTATGCAAGTAAAAGGCTTTTTAGCCCAACTGTAAAAACGTTCACCTTCAGGCTGTGTTACACATATCTTTTTGCTATGAAATATTTAATTATTTTATAAAGTAAATGTAAGAACAACTTTTATATAAGCAACTGTTTGGGCATAATTAAGAATAATTATGTTTTTTTCGTCTTTGAGTAGGCCTATGAGTCTGAACTTTTTATATATATATATATTTTGTCTAAAGGTCAGTAAACTATTAATTTTTTTAAGACATTTTTGACTATTTATTTAATATGTCAGGCTTCAGAGGGATTTATATTAAGGGAATAATTTCAGCAATATAAATAGCCCAATAAATTCTGAAATGTTTTAAATGTTCATAAACAAAAAATATGTAAAGGGCCACTGAAAAAAAAATGATGTGGGTTACATATAAATATTTCAAATTCCCACATAGAAAAATGAAAAAAAAAAGAATGTATAACAATGATGAAACATAAAAAATAACTTCTAAACTCCAAAATGCCAGACCTTTTATAGGATTGCTAACTTGTGAAATATTCACAAGTAATGAAAACAACAAAATATATGTGATTTACAGCTACAAGACGAGAATATATTCAAGCATTTGAACCATAAAAATTAACTCTCTTTGGCATTGGTTTTCATAAGTCTTGCTAGTAAAGTAAATGTTCACCGGCTTCTAGTGAAACATTTCCCTTGAAGAAGTATTTCCCATGTCCTCGAGAGAGCGCCACACCAACACTACAAAACATATAAAAAAATATAATTTCAAAAGTCAGCCACATACTTTCAATCAACGTTTGTTCAAATGTAAAATATTTACATACACGAGACATCACCTACCTAAATGGAGTTCCTTTAATATCAGTATAGTAATAATCATTGTGCATCGTCAAGACACGTTTCTGGTGGGGAACAAATTTAAAGATAAAAGATTATGAAGTTAAGCTGTCCAGTGAGGTGTATTTTTGATACTTTGCTATTATTCTAATAGATTTATGATACTAATATCCCATATTATTCTGGTTCTTGCATGCAAAGATAAAATCATTACCCCTTTGTCCACTGTTCTTTTTACTTCCATGGAGAAAGTGCCAGTTCGTCTGTTCACCATTGCTGTGCGTAACTACAAATAAACACATTTATGAAGCAGCACTTATTCACTTTAATACTATATTGCAACACTTCTAAAACACTTTATGCAAGTATGTGAACCTAATGCATAACAGGACTGGGAACCTGCAAAGCATTTGCATCTGCATACTTGCATAAAGTATGTTTCTGGTCTAAATGTACAGCAGTGAGTGCACTCATTAAAAACTGGTCCATACAACATCCTCTGTGTCCTCCCATTCCACCTCGGACAGGTCCACGCTGCTGTAACTGGGTTTCTTCCTCTTCTGGCCATCCTGGTACTGCAGGAAGAGACACAAAGAGGACAGGAAATGCTTTAGAAGACGGCAGTGCATTTACAGTTAGGAACTGGGATCATACGGGTAACACAATGGAGACAGAAACATACAGTACATGGTGATAGAGGCCATTAGTCACTCCTGCTCCTTGGGTTTCCAATTAGCACTGCACCTTTATGGTGTCTAATCAGATGATGAGGCGTGTTAAAGGTGCTGTAAACAATTTCCTCAGTTTCACCGTTTTGCTAACTTTCTCCAAAACGATCTAAGCAATCCCAAACGTAGAGTATGACTGACAGGGACAAAGCAATTCTGATTGATTGGTTTTCTGATAGGCTTAAATGCGTGGACCGTTTCCCTGACTCTTATTTACTGTTTACACAATCTAGTGCTGTCACTGAGACAGGTTTGATTTCTGAGGACAGCTATTTTACTGGTATCTGTCAGTAGTTGGGACATTTTATGTGTTGTATTCCAAAAAGTTGCTTACAGCACCTTTACATAAGAGAAACATCTAATGTGTGCAGCGCTGAGGGACTCCAGGAGCAGGATAGACAAACTGTGGAAATGAGTTTTGTTTGCACACTATCAGAGCAGCCAGTATTCGGCTTATGGGGATCTGTGTCAGAATAATCTGTCTAATCTTTTTTGCTCAGATTGGCTTTGGAACTTTAGTCAGTCAGTGGCTCTGTTCCAATCCCTAATGAGTTGTCTTGCCATCTGCTATCTACACAGGCAGCATTCTAAACAAAATAACCTCATAAGTTACTGAATTCAAACACTTCAATTCAGAATTCAAACACTATGTAGATAGCAACTCAACATTAATGGTTACTCACATGTGCCATGCAAATAGTGTTCTTCATGTGGAGCACACGAGAAGCCACTGAAAAGCAACTTATTATATTTCAATTACTTGCCAAGGCAACATTTCTAATTTTCTTTCTTTTTTAAAAAAAAGTTTTTCACCTAATAATTTTATTGAATTTTATTTGTTTATTCAATGGGAATGGTGCACTGTAATGAAATATGCAAGGGTTTGTGACCATATATATACATATAATATACATATATACATATATATACATACAAACACTTCAATTCAGAATTCAAACACTATGTAGATAGCAACTCAACATTAACGGTTACTCACATGTGCCATGCAAATAGTGTTCTTCATGTGGAGCACACGAGAAGCCACTGAAAAGCAACTTATTATATTTCAATTACTTGCCAAGGCAACATTTCTAATTTTCTTTTTTTTTTTTTAAAAAGTTTTTCACCTAATAATTGTATTGAATTTTATTTGTTTATTCAATGGGAATGGTGCACTGTAATGAAATATGCAAGGGTTTGTGACCATATATATACATATAATATACATATATAAATACATATAATTATACTTTAGATGATTCAAAACTATAACAAACTGCCAGTGTTATTTTAGTTTCAGTTATAGAAATTATAATTATTTAGCTTTATATTGCTTTTATTCTTATATTTTCAGTTTTCATTTTAATTTTAGGTTATAGTAATTTTATTATGTGCTTTGTCATTTTTATTTGTTTATTTATTTATTTTGAATTTTTTTATATATATATATATATATTTTTTAATTACTTGCCAAGGCGACATTCCTAATTTTCATTTTTTTTTTACTTTGAATTTTTTACCTAATATTGTTATTTTATTTTATTTTTTATTCATTTTAGTTTAGTTTAGTTTAGTTTAATTAATAAAAATATTTAAAATATTATAGTTAAAAATAACAAAATTGCAAAGAGCATAAATATTAGTTAAAATATTTCATTTTTTATTAGATTGACCTATTTTCTCATTTTATATACTTTTCAGTGAATAAAATATATACATTTATGTAAAAACTTCCCTTGTTGCAATGCATTCTGGGATATCCATGAAGGATACATACCACATACTCTATAATGTCCAATACTGTTAAAATCCAGCATAATGCTGCCTACTATTTGAAACAGCTTTCACATTATTTGTCTATAATGCCTAGAAAATTCGTCTAGACGTTCAGCTCACTAAGGTTTGGAACAGAGCCTAAAAATATCTCAAAAGTTGAATAAGAATGTTACTTTGTGTCACACTTGAATCCAGACAAGTTCAATGCTACTTCAATGCCACTAATAATACACATTTTAGCATATACCACATCCAATGACATTGTCCCTGTTGAGCAACACAGAGTCAGTGTGGTCTGTAAATACACACTCTTAACACACACTCAGAAGCCTTGACTGATGCACACCACCGCTACGCAAACACAAACTAAAACACAGCAGCACTGGAGCCACATTACGATGAGAACACCAACATGTTCACGACACACAGAGACGCACGCACACGCACACACACACACACACACGCAGTCACGCGTGGTGACTGAGAGCGGGGTGAGGGGTGTCCCTGTGAAGGGTAAGTTACCTCAGTGCTCTGATCAGCCCTGGCAGGCACATGAATGGGCTTTTATTCCTGCATGCAATATATCAGAGGAAAAGGGTTGGGATTACAAAAACTACATCTCCCATGATGCACTTCAGCGTCCCACCAGCGCTCTCACAAGCACACACTGCATGTGTGGGTAGATTTTACCTGAGCCAGCTTGTTGGGGTGTGGATGTAGGTGATTGTATCATATTTTAGCTCTATTTTAGGCGGTGTTTGAAATCATAATCCTAATATAAGGCTGGAAATGGGCCCAAATGGTATCAGTCCTTACCAGGGGCCTCAGGTCGGGATGTGTCAGGATATATCCATTATTGGTAATGGCAAACGCATATCCATGTATTCCTAGCTGGAGAAAAGAAGATAAGATTTAAAAAATGATAGCATTAATACACTCCTGCCCGCTTTAAGATACAGAGTGTAAAATCGAACAGATTAAAATTGATTTTGAAATCCTGGCTATTTATTGGTGGTAACAGCCTACCTTGTGTTTCGGGATGGTTTTCATTAACTCCTGAATGGGGATGTCAGTGCCTACGACACCTAGCAGGATGCCTTGGTTTTTCTGTGGAGGGACACTTGCTGTGAAATCACGCTATTTTCACACATATGCGTATTCATACATAAAGTGTGCACATTCATTTTTGGATAGACACTGGTACAAATAAGGCCTCTCTCATCTTTTTAAGTGGGAGAACTTGCACAATTGGTGGCTAACTAAATACTTTTTTCCCCACTGTACATTAATACTGATAGTCGTATTTACTTAATATTAATTATTAATACTATCAACATCAAAATTCAAATGTGTATTAATATTGATATTAATAACATTAATATTGTTATTATAGTTTTATATGAAAATTTTGTAAAATATACTATTATAGTTCCACATGGAAACTTAGTAGAATGCACATTTTAGAATATACATTAATATTGATAGTTATTCATTAAGATTAATTATTAATAATATCAAAATGTAAAATAGAAACTAGTATTAATATTGACATTAATATGAATATTGTTTTTATAGTTTCATACGGAAACCTAAATATATACGTTTTAGAATATACTTTAATACTAGTACTGTATGTATGTGTTTAGTTCTGACACACACACACACACACACACACACACACACACTCCTCACCGTTTCTTTCTTGGTGCTAAACACAGGCATGGCGACTGTGGTCATCGGGTTTGGGCCTTTATTCTCTCCAAGCTGCTGACAGATCAACAGAAAACTTTCAGATTTAAATTTACATGAACATCTGAGAAAAACACATACAATAAAGACTTTGGATGGATATTAATCGCCAGGGCCGGTTCATACGCTCACATTGTGTTGTCCTACTGGCCTTCAGATCAAGGAAGTTGCTGCGACATGAAATATTCAAACCAACGTTTTGATTAATGGCCGTGCGAGGTGTAGACAAGTGAAGGGTGATCTGGTGAAGATGGTTCATCTCTGTAGCTGAACCGTAAGCTCAGCTGCGGGCACGATGAGGGCTGACATGATTTAACGCATGAGCTCGCTGAAACTAGGTCTGCTATTCCCTCACCTCACCCTTATGTGTGTGTGTCCATTGTGCATGTTTTACAGTAGCCCTTGAGAGGATTCGTGAATGCAGTTGTTTGTGTTTGTAAAAGAGGAAAACAGAGAGAAAACAAAAAGAAATGTTGTAAAAAATACCATTTCAGTAAATAATTACCAAACCAGAACAATTCTCTTAAAATATTAATGAGATAGTTAACACAAAAATTCAAATTCTGTCATCATTTACTCACCCTCATGTCATTCCAAACCTGTGAGACTTATTTATTTATTTGTTTGTTTGTTTATTGCTTGTTTATTTCTAGGGGAACAATAAAATACAATAAAAAACAGCATTAAAGTATTATAAAATTGGTCCACATGGCTTGTGTGCTATATTAAAAGTCTGAAAAGACTGAAATTTGAATACATTTTTTTGCTGGAAAATCTTCTCTGTTGTTGTTTTCGAATCCCATTTCTGTTCATGTACATTCATATATGGCACATCAAAACATGTCCTTTTGGGTTTGTTATCAATGACACAAAATGTCAATCTTTGGGTTGTGTGTCTTATGACTAATCAAATTGTTGGCATCAAACCTGGTGTGACGTGTTTTGATGTACCATATTTAAATGTCATATGAATGTAAATGAGCTACAAAGATTGAAAGAAGTGTCTTCTGCTCACCAAGACTGCATATATTTGATCAAAAAATACAGTACAAACAGCAATTTTGTGAAATATTATTACAATTTATAATAACTGCTTTCTATTTTAATATATTTTAAAATGAAATTTATTCCTGTGATCAAAGCTGAATTTTCAGCATCATTACTCCAGTCTTCAGTGTCACATGATCCTTCAGAAATCATTATGATATGCTGATTTGATTCTGAAGAACCTTTCTTATTATTATCAATGTTGAAAATAGTTTTACTGCTTATTTTAATGAATTATTTAATGAATAGAAAGTTTAAAGTACAACATTGAATTAGAAATCTTTGTCTATACATATTTATGGAGTTGGAACAAAATCAGAAAATGAATGCTTACAGATTCTTTTGGAGTGAACAATTTCATTATTTTGGTGAAGTATCCCTTTAAATCTTGTTTTCAGTGTGTAACATTAAGTATCACTGGCTGTGTTCCACTGTCAGAAACAGGGATTTAAAGTCTCTCTTATTCTGTCTCACATTTGAGAGCTCAAAAAAACCAACAACCTCAGTTTGAGTTTGGTCCAACATTTGTTCAGTCTGGTTGGCTTCGTGCAGAACACTAGAGGTGTATCCTGCAGGAGCCAAATTGAAATCTGTGAATTAACCTTGTGCTTCCCCGTTCCTCTCCTTCCCCCTCTTCCCTTCTCTTTCTCCCAGTCTCTGCCTCTTTCACCCCCTCTGCTCCAATGTCAGTTTTATTACGGCTTTAGGATATAAAAGCCAATGATCCACAAAATGATGAATGGGGTGTCTCAGTGGCCAAGATACAGCAACACACACACTCCGGAGAACAATTCCCAACACCCTACGCCTATGCCCGTGTGTGTGTGTGAGAGAGAGAGAGAGAGAGAGAGGAGGGTGTCAAAGACGTCGGGTGGGTGCGAACACTTGCATTTGTGTGTGTGTGTGTATGAATTGCTCTTATCAGAAATGGAATGGCACAGCGGTCGGTGCTGGAGTTCTCGACATACCCAGCAGAGTGAAGCCAAACCCTATCTCTGACCACATCTCGCCCTCTCTGGCTTTTATCTATCGCGCTCTCTGCCTGCTTTCTGCGCTTCCCTGTAGCACTACAAAAATTCAAATTCTGTCATCATTTACTCACCCTCATGTCATTCCAAACCTGTGAGACTTATTTATTTATTTGTTTGTTTGTTTATTGCTTGTTTATTTCTAGGGGAACAATAAAATACAATAAAAAACAGCATTAAAGTATTATAAAATTGGTCCACATGGCTTGTGTGCTATATTAAAAGTCTGAAAAGACTGAAATTTGAATACATTTTTTTGCTGGAAAATCTTCTCTGTTGTTGTTTTCGAATCCCATTTCTGTTCATGTACATTCATATATGGCACATCAAAACATGTCCTTTTGGGTTTGTTATCAATGACACAAAATGTCAATCTTTGGGTTGTGTGTCTTATGACTAATCAAATTGTTGGTATCAAACCTGGTGTGACGTGTTTTGATGTACCATATTTAAATGTCATATGAATGTAAATGAGCTACATCACAAGAAAAAAGATTGAAAGAAGTGTCTTTTGCTCACCAAGACTGCATATATTTGATCAAAAAATACAGTACAAACAGCAATTTTGTGAAATATTATTACAATTTATAATAACTGCTTTCTATTTTAATATATTTTAAAATGAAATTTATTCCTGTGATCAAAGCTGAATTTTCAGCATCATTACTCCAGTCTTCAGTGTCACATGATCCTTCGGAAATCATTATGATATGCTGATTTGATTCTGAAGAACCTTTCTTATTATTATCAATGTTGAAAATAGTTTTACTGCTTATTTTAATGAATTATTTAATGAATAGAAAGTTTAAAGTACAACATTGAATTAGAAATCTTTGTCTATACATATTTATGGAGTTGGAACAAAATCAGAAAATGAATGCTTACAGATTCTTTTGGAGTGAACAATTTCATTATTTTGGTGAAGTATCCCTTTAAATCTTGTTTTCAGTGTGTAACATTAAGTATCACTGGCTGTGTTCCACTGTCAGAAACAGGGATTTAAAGTCTCTCTTATTCTGTCTCACATTTGAGAGCTCAAAAAAACCAACAACCTCAGTTTGAGTTTGGTCCAACATTTGTTCAGTCTGGTTGGCTTCGTGCAGAACACTAGAGGTGTATCCTGCAGGAGCCAAATTGAAATCTGTGAATTAACCTTGTGCTTCCCCGTTCCTCTCCTTCCCCCTCTTCCCTTCTCTTTCTCCCAGTCTCTGCCTCTTTCACCCCCTCTGCTCCAATGTCAGTTTTATTACGGCTTTAGGATATAAAAGCCAATGATCCACAAAATGATGAATGGGGTGTCTCAGTGGCCAAGATACAGCAACACACACACTCCGGAGAACAATTCCCAACACCCTACGCCTATGCCCGTGTGTGTGTGTGAGAGAGAGAGAGAGAGAGAGAGGAGGGTGTCAAAGACGTCGGGTGGGTGCGAACACTTGCATTTGTGTGTGTGTGTGTATGAATTGCTCTTATCAGAAATGGAATGGCACAGCGGTCGGTGCTGGAGTTCTCGACATACCCAGCAGAGTGAAGCCAAACCCTATCTCTGACCACATCTCGCCCTCTCTGGCTTTTATCTATCGCGCTCTCTGCCTGCTTTCTGCGCTTCCCTGTAGCACTTTGCACCATATCCACGTTCAAGAACTAATAAAACGTTTCAGATTCCAGAAACGGAATGCTGAAAGCAAATTACAATGAGATTTATTCCTGTGATCAAAGCTGAATTTTCAGCATCATTACTCCAGTCTTCAGTGTCACATGATCCTTCGGAAATCATTATGATATGCTGATTTGATTCTGAAGAACCTTTCTTATTATTATCAATGTTGAAAATAGTTTTACTGCTTATTTTAATGAATAGAAAGTTTAAAGTACAACATTGAATTAGAAATCTTTGTCTATACATATTTATGGAGTTGGAACAAAATCAGAAAATGAATGCTTACAGATTCTTTCGGAGTGAACAATTTCATTATTTTGGTGAAGTATCCCTTTAAATCTTGTTTTCAGTGTGTAACATTAAGTATCACTGGCTGTGTTCCACTGTCAGAAAGAGGGATTTAAAGTCTCTCTTATTCTGTCTCACATTTGAGAGCTCAAAAAAACCAACAACCTCAGTTTGAGTTTGGTCCAACATTTGTTCAGTCTGGTTGGCTTCGTGCAGAACACTAGAGGTGTATCCTGCAGGAGCCAAATTGAAATCTGTGAATTAACCTTGTGCTTCCCCGTTCCTCTCCTTCCCCCTCTTCCCTTCTCTTTCTCCCAGTCTCTGCCTCTTTCACCCCCTCTGCTCCAATGTCAGTTTTATTACGGCTTTAGGATATAAAAGCCAATGATCCACAAAATGATGAATGGGGTGTCTCAGTGGCCAAGATACAGCAACACACACACTCCGGAGAACAATTCCCAACACCCTACGCCTATGCCCGTGTGTGTGTGTGAGAGAGAGAGAGAGAGAGAGAGGAGGGTGTCAAAGACGTCGGGTGGGTGCGAACACTTGCATTTGTGTGTGTGTGTGTATGAATTGCTCTTATCAGAAATGGAATGGCACAGCGGTCGGTGCTGGAGTTCTCGACATACCCAGCAGAGTGAAGCCAAACCCTATCTCTGACCACATCTCGCCCTCTCTGGCTTTTATCTATCGCGCTCTCTGCCTGCTTTCTGCGCTTCCCTGTAGCACTTTGCACCATATCCACGTTCAAGAACTAATAAAACGTTTCAGATTCCAGAAACGGAATGCTGAAAGCAAATTACAATGAGGAAATGCTGCAAGACACCAGTGACAGAATGGACACAAACAGGCTCTGTTCCAAAACCTAGTCAGCTGCCTTGCTGACTACCGTCTACATAGGAAGCATTCTAACTAGTTAGATTTAGAACATTCGGTGTCATATGTCATACAAGTAGTGCTAAAAGTGCAAGTAAACCTCCAATAAGCATAAATATACAACAATCATTGGGTAAAATAATCACATTTTAATCACAGAATTTACACACTATTTTAGTTATATTTTTCAGTAGTGAAAAAATTAACTATATACATACAATCTACAATTTATACACTCAGAAGAAAGGTACAAAGCTGTCACTCTCTGCACCACATCCACGTTCAAGTACTAATAAAACGTTTCAGATTCCAGAAACGGAATGCTGAAAGCAAATTACAATGAGGAAATGCTGCAAGACACCAGTGACAGAATGGACACAAACAGGCTCTATTCCAAAACCTAGTCAGCTGCCTTGCTGACTACCGTCTACATAGGAAGCATTCTAACTAGTTAGATTTAGAACATTCGGTGTCATATGTCATACAAGTAGTGCTAAAAGTGCAAGTAAACCTCCAATAAGCATAAATATACAACAATCATTGGGTAAAATAATCACATTTTAATCACAGAATTTACACACTATTTTAGTTATATTTTTCAGTTGTGAAAAAATTAACTATATACATACAATCTACAATTTATACACACAGGTACAAAGCTGTCACGGAGTCGGTACTCTTTCAAAACTAATAAAATTTAATATTTTTGTACTAATATTGATTACGATTGATTATGAAAATTATGATTTTGTAATGTTTTTGAAATAAGTATCTTATGCTGTAAAAACAGTAATATTGTGTGAAATAGTATTACAATTTAATGTATCTGTTTTCTATTTTAATATATATTAAAATGTAATTTATTCCTGTGATGCAAAGCAGAAATTTCAGCATCATTACTCTATTACTCTACTCATTACAAATTATTATTATTATCAATGTTAAAGAACAGTTTTAATAGAATACTTTGATGAATAGAAAGTTCACAAGAACATTTTTTAGTTAATTTTAATCACTGAAAGTGAACTTGTTGAATAAAAGATTTTTTATTTTTTTTGCATACAACAGAAATCTTTGGAATGGTAGTGTATTATGATTTCCATAAAAATATTAAGCAAGACAAAAAAATAAACCGCTGATAATAATAAGAAATGTTTCTTGAGCAGCAAATTAGCATATTAAAATGAAAATTTAGCTCTGCATCACAGGAATAAATTACATTTTAAACTATATTAAAGCAGTTGCTTTAAATGGTAATAATATTGACACCTTTAAGGTACTAATATGCACCTTTTAGGGGTAAATAAGGCAAAAAGCTGTACCTTATAAAAGAGTACTGCCCCAGTGACAACTTTTGTACCTATTTTTCTTAAAGTCTGCCTACAATCTGTTTTTTCTCCCTTTAAACTTGTTGCAGTGCATTCTGGGACTGCCTGGTTCACTACGTGCTGCCATCGAAATTTGGCTGTTATTAGCTATCTTAGGAGGAACAGCCTTCATGCTGTGTGCGCCCTAAAAATGCTACCTCCATAGGCAGCTCGCTAGGTTTGGGAACAGAGCCACAGAGACACCGGTTACGACTGTTACCTTGTGCGCCTGTGCGAGCTATAGGGACACAGGGAGAAAAATAATATGTGTCATTGACATGTGTTCACGTCTACACACATACAAGAGACACACTGCACGGTGTGTGACCTGATCTGCTTCTCGTAGTGCTCACTGAATGGAAGAGTGTCTTGATGAGATCTTCAGGGAGTTAACGGAGCTACTAATGAGGACTGAGTTGCATTTTATGAAGGTGAATAAATGTAGAAAACACATAGACTTAGTAGAGAAAATACTTTGGATGTTTTAGACAAACCCATAGCAAACCCTTTACAAAAATGTACCATAGTGGCATTGATTTCTGCTAAAATACCATAGTTACTACAGTAGTTGTTGGTACCGTAAATAAATAATAAAATAATATTACAGTGCAAGAAGTTTCTTTTCTGTTATTTTGTTTATTTATTTTTGATAACTGTGGTGATTTATAACTAAAAGTGTGGTATCTTATTAAACTAACATTCGTATTTTTGCAGAAACTATGGTTCACATTGTACGTTTCTGTGAAGGGATACGGATGCTGTACACACGCAACATGATGTGATTATTTATACTTACTGCGCTGTCCACATAGGCTTCAGTCCACACTGTGTCGTGTTCATGGTCGATAACTTTAGGTCTGCTCATCACGTGCAAATACCGCATCACGTTCTCCTGAACGTCAGCCAGCGTGGAGATCTGACTAAAGTAACCTGAACAACACAGCAACATTGCAGATTAACCTTATATATATACAGTGCCGTGAAAAGGTTTTTGCCCCCTTCCTGTTTTTTATTTTTTTTGCATATCTGTCACACTTAAAAGATTCAGGTCATCAAACAAATTTTTATATTACACAAAGATAATGCAAGTAAATACAAAATGCAGTTTTTAAATGATGATTTCATTTATGAAACGAAAAAAGCTGTCCAAACCTACCTGGCCCTACGTGAAAAAGTATTTGCCCCCTCCTGTTAAATCATGAAAGAACTGTGATTAACCACATTATTTTAGAAAGCGGAGTTAAATTTCACTAGCCACACCCAGGCCTGATTACTGCCAGACCTGTTGAATCAAGAAATCACTTAAATGGAACCTGTCTGACAAAGTGAAGCATGCAACACATCATGCCGCGATCTAAAGAAATTCAAGAACAGATGAGAAACAAAATAGTTGACATGTATCAGTCTGAGGTTATAAAGGGTTATGAAGCCATTTCTAAATCTTTGGGACTCCAGTAAACCACAGTCAGAGCCATTATCCACAAATGGAGAAAACTTGGAACAATGGTGAACCTTCCCAGGAGTGGCCGGCCTAGTAAAATTACTCCAAGAGCACAACGACGACTCATCCAAGAGGTCATAAAATAACCCAGAACAACATCTAAAGAACTGCAGGCCTCACTTGCCTCAATTAAGGTCAGTGTTCATGATTCAACAATAAGAAAGAGACTGGGTAAAAATGGCATCCATGGGAGAGTTCCAAGGCAAAAGCCACTGCTGACCAAAAAGAACACAAAGGCACAACTCACAGTTGCCAAAAAATATCTTGATTATCCCCAAGACTTTTGGGCAAATATTCTGTGGACTGATGAGACAAAAGTTGAAGTTTTTGGAAGGTGTGTGTCCCGTTACATCTGGCGTAAAACCAACACAGTATTTCATAAAAAGAACATCATACCAACAGTCAAACATGGTGGTGGTAGTGTGATGGTCTGGGGCTGCTTTGCAGCTTCATGACCTGGACGATTTGCCATAATTGATGGAACCATGAATTCTGCACTCTATTAGAAAATCCTGAAGGAGAATGTCCGGCCATCAGTTTGTGACCTCAAGCTCAAGCGCACTTGGGTTATGCAGCAGGACAATGATCCCAAACACACCAGCAAGTCCACCTCTGAATGGCTCAAGAAAAACAAAATTAAGGTTTTGGAGTGGCCAAGTCAAAGTCCAGACTTAAATCAGATTGAGATGCTGTGGCATTTCCTTAAACAGTCCATAAATGCTCGAAAACCCTCCAATGTGGCTGAATTAAAACAATTCTGCAAAGAAGAGTGGGCCAAAATTCCTCCCCAGCGATGTGAAAGACTCATTGCCAGTTATCACAAAAGCTTGATTGCAGTTGTTGCTGCAAAGGGTGGCACAGCCAATTATTAGATTTAGGGGGCAATTACTTTTTCACGTAGTGCCAGGCTAGATTGGACAGCTTTTTTCCCTTAATAAATGAAATCATTTTTTTCAAAACTGCATTTTGTATTTGCGCGGGTTATCTTTGTGTAATATTAAAATTTGTTTAATGATCTGAATTATTCAAGTGTGACAAATATGCAAAAAAACAAACAAAAACAAAAAACAAGAAGGGGGCAAAAACTTTTTCGAGCACTGTATATATATATATATGCAAAATACATTTTGGTAACAATTTTTATGAAACCTGCAATACCTTCTTTTAAATGTATTTATAATACATATTATGATCCTATCATTATCATTATAATATATAAGACATTTGCATTGTTACAATAATTTTTTCTTTCACACAAACGTTGCTCTTTTTGAAGAATCCTGAAAATTCCACAAACATATTAAGCAACACAACTGTTTTCAGCATTGATAATATTAAGAAATGTACAAATCAGCATAATAGACTGATTTCTGTTGGGCCATGTGACAAAACAGTAAAAATGTTCAAATATATTTAAACAGAAAAGTTATTTTAAATTGTACTAATATTTCACAATATTACAGTTTTTACAGCTAACTATACAAATAAAAGCAGCTTTGGTGAGGTTTATGATCAAAAACATCAAAAAAAATTTGAACGGTAATATACAGTATATTCTCATGTATATTTTGACTAAATGCATTTTAGTAACACTTTGCATAAAGTCTGTAAATATACTGTATTTTTACAGATTTACTTACTGCGACATTCTTTTAAAAGGTATTCATAATGCTTTAAATGAGATATTATAGTCTTTCTTTTTGTATTCATAGTTCATGGTTATTGACTTTAAATGATTAAAATTATAAAGACAATATACTGGTTGATTATCAGACGCATTTTCCATCCATTTGGCAGTGTTGAAAATGTGTATGTACTACTGCAGAGGCTCCAGGTGCAGAGCTAGAAACTCTCAGCATGGTGTGTGTGTGCGCGTTCCTCATCCCGCAGCTAGTCATCCGTGGCGTGGGCACATGGGAGTGATCTATGCTGTGCAGCCACGGGAGCCTGGCTGACAGGAAGAGTGATTTAGGCTCAGTTGACCCTTGACCTCTGCATGTCAGCTCTGCGAGTTGAGCCAGTTTCTGTCACACTCCCATCAAGCACTCAACACTCGCGTGGTTTCCTCCAGCCTTCACACCAATAAACCCACAACGCTGGGTTTAGCTTCCGTGACCAGCAAAACCCAGCCAGGATAATTAATTAACTAATTAGCAAATATTTTAATGGAATATAAATCAAATTCAGTTTGTCATTTGGAAGATCATCCCCCCCCCCAAAAATCACAAACCTTTATTGGCACACGCCATCCATTTTAGGTTATCAGCGAATGCAGATTCACGGCCAATCAAGTAGGGGAATATACGAACCTATGGAGAAAAAGAAAAAAGTGTCTTTTAACTCTTACAATGAAACTCTTTTACACATAAGTAGCTTTTATCTTGGCTTGCTACAGTTTCAAATATGTTGAATTCGTACACACAAATATTAATGCAATAATGTTGGTCTGTTACTTTTCATTCCTCTGTTTCTCTCTGGTTCTCCATGCTGAAAACACACATGCAGCAGATCTCTGAATTTAAACCAAATAATCTGCTTGTTTCCCACAATGCAATTTCCCAACGTCAGGGTAAATCCTGATTACTTGATTACTCATTGGAAAACAACTGCCGTGGCACATTTACTTAATTACACAACTGGTGTAACAAACCAGCTAGGAAAATTGTTCACCATATGTTTTAAGATTCAGTTTTAGATATCTACCAGAGACTCTGCATGAGTACTCAGAGTGACAGCTATGATCAATCAGGAAAACATGGCAGTTCAGTGGTTTTACATATTTTCTTTTCTTTTCTTTCTTTTTTAAAAAATTCAAATTAGTTTAGACTGTTTAAAAATACAGGGCCCTAAATCCAGTGTAGTTTTAGTATTATTTATATACTATTAATGTTTTTATTAATATTTTGAATTAGCTTTTATTTTTATATTTTTTTGTTTCAGTTTTAGTAATTGTCTTGTGTGATTTTGTCATTTTATTCGTTTTTATATTTCTGTATAGCTTTAATTTATTTTTTGTTCAGTTTTTTTTTGTAATTTTAGCGCTTAAACTTATTTCAGTTTTTTAAATTAAGTTTTTCATCTACTATTTATATTTTATTTTATTTCAGCTTTATGTCAATTAGTAAAAATGATTTTAATCGTTTTAGTTTACAGTAACAACCCTGCTTACAACATGTATTACGTTAAAGGCAATGTCAAGTGAGAAATGCATCTAAACAATGTAAAACTTAATTTTGTAGTTTCTTTGTCAAGTTAAAAACACTATTAAATGCATGTGTCAAGATGCTCTTGCTGGGGAAGAAAAGAATACAATTTAACAACCAACGATATGAGTACAGAGAACAAAACATATTTTTATTAATAGATGCTTAATAGATCTTGTCCAAAATGTACATCCTTGAATGTTTATACATTTTATTTATTAATTGGTGCACATGAAGGTGGTCTCAAGACTGTAACCATTCCTCTCCATGTTTCTTCTCTGCGCACTCATTCATTTTTTTCTCTCTCTCCCTTCCTCTTTTTCATTCTCCATCCCTCCATTTCTCAGTACATTGCTCCTGTCTCCCATGTATAAATGGTTTTTGATTCCAACCAATACTGAGCGGTTACACCGCAGTGGGCCAGTGACAATTCACACACACACACACACACACACACACACACACACACACACACACACACTCCTTCTGCAGGCTGTAAAATGCATTTCTCCCCCCGCCGATTAGGACATGAGACTCAGACTTACACACACGACCAATACAGGGCAGAAATGTTCTCTTAACATGTTCACCTGAATCCCGAATGCTTTATGAACATGTCTGGTAGCGCAAACTGCACCGTAGTTGGCAAACACTGGTTCACAGGGTCAATCGGGTGATTGATTCAGCACCGCCAAGGGCAGATACACGAGCAAACCCTCCAAATCAGTTTATTCAACACTTTCCCCCATGTTTGAAGAGTGTGTCAAATAAGCTGGTGCTGTCAGCAATTCAATATACATTAACACACTTTTTCAGACAACCACCGCAGGAGCCAAACACAATTCTTCAAAATGTCAAAACGCTCTCAAAAGGGAATTTTACACTTGTGCTGAGGTGAAAAAAAAGCAATCATAACTAAATCCATAAAGTAAGAGAAAACACGCTGCACTTAGGCAGGAAACGAACCAATATATTTCAAAGAAATAATGCTGCAGTTTATAATGTATCTCAAGTAAGATTTAATGATACATATTTATGATTTTGATGCTTTTAAACTGAAAATGTGGTTGTTATGTGCAGAAAACCTCCTTTTTGATAATTTTCCTAATCTTACCTTGCGCTCAGGCCAGTTATATTTGGCGAAAACATCATCGTGCATTTCAGTGCCTCCATCTGTTATCAGCATGATCGCCTGACTACATGAACTTCCTCGGCCGGTCTGATTAATCTGCACAGTGAGAGGGAATGATAAGGAGACATGAGAGAGAGAGACTTTTCATTATGAGAATGAGAATTCAGCTCGACAGAATAAGCTTAAACTATCAGCCTTAGAGAGATTCACTAACACATAAAGCTAAAACTTAACAACAGAATCAAACAGGAAATTGTCTTCAAAATGGTTTCTGCATTTACATTACCAGTCTGTGAAAAGAGATATATCCGATACTGTGTTTATGCTGTATGATACATCCTGAATGCTGATTGGTCAATGTCAAGAGTGACTAGCTAAAGTATTGTAGCAATGCCCCAAAATTAACTACTGTACTTTTTTCAGTATCAGTAGCTTAAAATTGGACACAAAATAGCACAACTTTGTAATATTTTATTGTTTAGTTATGTTATGATTACGTTGGTTGCATACAGTATGTGTGTGATTACTGTACAGGTAACAATGCATTAACATTATTGGCAAAGTATTGCATGTTATGATCAAATCTTTGTATGCAGACAACAGACAAGATCATGTACAAACAAAAAGATAATATAAGGTTATAATTGCAGCCAGGTTCAAAAGTCATCTAGTAGAAATTTGTAATAATAATAAGAAAAAACAAAATAATAATAACCTATACAATGTCATAGAAAATGTGAGTTAAAATTGTATTTTTAAAGGTAAGTTGGTAATATTTTTACATAAATTTTTGTTTTGTTAATATGTTCTTGTAAGAGGGCTCTTATGGACAACAATGCATTTATTTAATCAAAAATACTGTGAAATACAGTGGTGTGAAAAAGTGTTGGCCCCTTCATGATTTCTTATTTTTTTGCATGTTTGTCACACTTTAATGTTTCAGATCATCAAACTAATTTAAATATTACACAAAGATAATGCAAGTAAATACAAAATGCAGTTTTTAAATGATGATTTGACAGCTTTTTTCCCTTAATAAAATAAATAATAATTTAAAAACTGCATTTTGTATTTACTTGCATAATCTTTGTGTAATATTAAAATTAGTTTGATGATCTGAATCTTTTAAGTGTGACAAATATGCAAAAAGTTTAAAAACCGGGAAGGGGGTCAACACTTTTTCACACCACTGCATATATATATATATATATATATATTAAAATAGCTGTTTTCTATTTTAATATATTTTTTAAATGTAGTTTATTTCTTTGATGGCAAAGCTGAATTTTCAGCATCATTACTCCAGTCTTTAGTGTCACATGATCCTTCAGAAATCATTCTAATACAGTATTAATGATCTGGTCCTTAAAATAATTTCTTATTGTTATCAGTGTTGAAATACACTACATTTTTTGTGGAAAGTGTGATACTTTTTTAGGATTATTTGATGCATATGGGGTTCGAAATTAAAGCATTTATTTGAAATAGAAATCTTTTGTATTATTATAAAAGTTTTTACTGTCATTAAATGAGTTCTTGCTGGATAAAAGCAATAAAAAAAAAAGTTATATAAAAAAAAATTCCTTGACACCCCTTTGAAGGTAGTGTATAATATAATAACTTATATTGACATGAACAAAACCGTATGTTCCAAATAACGTTTTCCAGCATTATTTGAGTTCACTTCCAAAATAAAGATTGGGATTTAAACTATATTTATCTAGTATTTACAGATCGACTGAGCAGAAAATGCTATATAGTATAGAAGGATATGTTAATAACCTGCATTGTTGGTGATAATCAGGCTTTGGATTCTCTGCTATTGTCTTTTCCACCAAACAAACTTTACTGCGGTGCAGTGCATGATGTCATTCGAAAAGTCAAAGACTGCTGAGTCTACTTCATTCTTTTTTTTATACTTTCAACCAATCAGACACAAACACAGTAAACGGTCCTTTAAAGGGGCCGGACTCTGGCTTTTATGATTACCATATTAATGGTCTGGCTCTAATGAATGTGACAAATACAGATATAACCCTATCCTCCTTCTGTCTCTGCGTTTCTCCCCTCCTCGCTCTTTCCGTGAAACTAGTGGTCTGAGAAAAGAGAGATAAAGGGCGCAACCGGACCGACTTTGAGCACTATCTCGTCTGCAATTGCTTTCTCTTTCATCAGCGTATTAATCAGTGCTGTCAATTACCACAATTAATCACAGGGAGAGATAGCGGTGTCTCGAGGAGGGACTGGAACAGTGAGAAAACACGCACACACACTTGTGCAGGAGCAGAACGGAGAGCTGTCCTGATACCGGACCTCTGTAATCTCACGCTTTTGGTAATCTTCACCGACCTCATTTAAGATAGTGAAAGCCTCAGTCAGTGCATTGCCCAGAAGCCCGATTCCTTTGGCGAATAACTTGTCCAGATGCTCTTTAAAGTGCTGATGAATAAGAACAAGTAGAATGGCTTTCAGATATGTTTTAAGAGTCCTAATTTCACTGAAAATTAGATAATTATAGCCAGAAAGTATGTGCCATTGTTTAATAAGAGAAAGACATACATCCTTATTAGTACTGTCAGCTTGAACGAGCGTGCCGTTTAGACAGGGCTCCACATAACGGATCTCTTGGTTGTACTGGAAACACAAGAAATATTAGACACAGCGAGCGTTAATTAAAAACTTGGTTTCAAATTAATTGATATACTAAAGGGTACTAATTATTTCACTTATGGATATTAAACAAATTCCCTTGCTTTTTTTTAAAGTGGATGAACAAATTGTAACTTTCAAAACCAAACAAATTAATTAAAAAAGTTTGGGGTTTGTCAGGTTTTTGAAAGCAGTCTCTTATACTCACCAAGGCTGAATTTATTAGATCAAAACACCATAAAAACAGTAATACTGTGAAATACTTTTACAATTTAAAATAAACATACATACATACATACATATATTTAAATACATATACATCCATATCTCAGAACTGTTCTTAATAACTTCATTCAATGTTTCACATTTATTGTTTTATAGTTTGCAGACTCTTTAGTTAGAAATCAAACAGATTGGACATCTCTGCCGGTTCAGCTCTTTAACCACATCTGTTTAGCACAAATAGCTAATATATGTAAATTTGGCATAATGCTATAAGATGTAAGATGTGATTTAGTCCGCCGCAGGCTTTGATTAATGGAATGAATTTTCTCTTATGTCTTCTCTGATGGTCTGTAAAATTAAAACATTAGTGAAATCAGCCAGTTTGATCTTCATCAATTCCTGCGCTGACATAATGCAACATTACGCACCTGGGTATTGTCGGAAAAAACCTTTAGCGCTTCCAAAGTACTGCCAAATAAGAGTCGGGTCCCTTTTGAAGTTTTCCACGAAAACTTTGTTCAAGGCTTCCGACCAATAGACTCCATTAACTATGTCAGGGTCTAAAAGGACGGAGAGAGAAAGAGTGAGAAAAGTTTAATTGAAGCATCATTTGCAATCATTCCAATAACAGAGTTCTAATTTGACCTTTAACCCTTATTTCATTCGTCGTACAAGCCAAAAGCGGAGCGATTAAATCACCTCATCCAGTTCCACCCCTCCTTCAGCTCCAAGTCCAACTTGACTCCATAAAAAACCCTTTGCTTTTGTCCTCCAGCACACAAAGCGCAGCCATTGAAAGGCCATTACGGGCGCACACAAAGGGTCGAGGCGCATCCACCATGCATGAGCGGCCACTGCGGCATCCACAGATCACAAAGCGAACAGCTACTTTAAGAGTGATTACTCCGTTCTCACCGCACTCTTCGCTGGGGCATCGAGCCCTTGGCTTTGTTCGTTGCGTTGTCCCCAGGTAGTTATTGACCCGTAGTACTGCAGTGACACTGAGGAGTTCGTTCTTGGATCAGTAACTTCAGAATGACCTGAGGTGTTTGGCTATTATCACTGCTCTATGACATACTAACTTAACTCTCTCTGTCTTTCACTCCGCAATGTGGGGCAGTTTCTGTTAGGACACCCAGGAGCTTTTTATTGAGAAATATAATGGCACGTTTAAAGCTTTTAAACTGTTAATAAAGTTACTCTCTCTGTTTCTCAATTAATCTGCCTAGAGGACCCATAAATGAACACATTTATCACATTACACATACGGCATGAACTGTAAACTTGTTTTTATTTTACCAGTTAAAGGTTTGGAATAATTTTTTTAAACAGCTTTTGCTGCTTAATATTTTTATTATACAAGAACAGTGATAAACCACCCAAAAGTATGGGATAAAAAAAACTTTTTTACCTTTTGATACTTTTATTCAGCAAGGACATTAAATTGATCAAAAGTGACTGTAGATACATTTATAATGTAACAAAAGGTTGTTTTTTATTCACCAAAGAATCTTTAAAAAAAGCATCACAGTTTCCACAAAATATTAAGCAGAAAAAAAAAGGTTTTCAATACTGATAAGAAATAAGAACTATTATTAAAAACTGAACACCAATAATAATGAATTAAATGTGTACATTAATTTTTTTTTATTAAAATATTATCATTTAAAATGACAATAAAAAAGTAAATAAAAAATTAATATATAAAACAGTTTAAATTATAATAACATTTCTAATTTTATTTTAAAAAAACTAAATGATTCGAAACTTTTGACTAATAGCGCATATTTTCTTTTCATGAAAATCTATTTTCTAAATGCATGTTATTGATTTCACTGTGAACAATTCATTCATGCATGTATTTTTTATTTCATTTTATCATTTTAATCAATTTTATTTTTTGATAAAATAATCTATTTCACTTGTATATATGTCATAATATGGAAGAAAAGATTTGCCGTCACATCTATTTCATCGCAACTTTAAGCAGTTTCCCCTGCTGGTAGATGGCGAACTGCACCATTTTGTTGCACAAAGCATCTTTCTCCACTGATAACCATTCTGATGTCAAAATACACTTCTTGCAGGCAACATATAAATCAAAAACATACATTACATTACATTATATCAGATGTTTTACCAATTCTCAATTTTCAGAGGGCTCTTAAAAGCATGAAAGGACTGATGTTTTTCTCATCCTGCTGCTCAGGATAGTAACCAGTTTTGGGACTGTGCGTGTTCTTGTACTGCCATCAACCAATCAACGTGTCATGTTGGTTGAATCACATCTCATCACACCTCATATCCTGTATGTCCAGGTAAAAACAGAATGCATTACCTTTATTGTACATGTTGGTTGGCACCTGCACCACGCTGAGGCTGAGGTTGACTGATAGGTTATTAAAATGATCATTGGGTTCCAGGAGAAACTCTCCTCCCAGCTCTACACTGTTCCCGTCTTCATCCACCTCATTTATAAGCACTGCGTTGAAATACTCGTACTGTTGGAGAAAAATAAAAATTATTATTATTAATATATATATTATTGCATACTATTAATATTAATTTTATTATGTTACAGTAAACTTTTATATTTAAAAGTTTGTGGTCAGTAAGATTTTTTTAAATCGCAACAAAAGTTTTCTATTTCATATTTATGCTGTTCTTTTGAATTTTCAGCAAAAAATCCAGATTTTTTTTTTACAAAATTTCAGAGCAGCACAACTGTTTTCAGCATTAATAATAATAAGAAATGTTTCTTGAGCAGCAAATCAGCATATTAGAATGATTTCTGAAGGATCATGTGACACCGAAGACTGAAGTAATTATGCTGAAAATTCAGCTTTGCATCACAGGAATAAATTACATTTTAAAACATTAAAAAAAGTCTTTACAAGTGTAATAATATTACTGTTTTTGCTATATTTTTGATCACATAAATGGTGAGTAAACAAACATTAATAAATATAATCTAACAGGGACTTCACAGAAATCTGTAATGTTTAAGTATCAACTTTGTTTCTCTAAAAATGTTCATATAGAAATTTATGACTTTTTGAATGCAGACTTTGTCAAATATGGGCACAGATTCAAACACTTCTGTGAGATAAAAAACAAATGGTGCAACTAAACCATTAAAAATGTTAGTTTACGCACACACACAAACATTTCTCACCATTGCCCCAGTCGAACTATAAAGGATAACGGACGAAGAACATTTAGATTGTGTCCAGAGGCCCTGCGTGATTAAACTACCTCTCACTTTACTGAACCAAAGGTCATTCTGTGAAAAGAGGCTATCTATCTGTTAGGTGAGTGTACTTGGTAACACCTTTGTGTTTACCATAAAGCAGTGTGTGTATGTGTGTATGCACTTGACTACAGCTCCTGTTGGGGAGGGGGGCATCAGTACAAAGCCCAGCAATGACAGCTCATACCACGGCTGGGCGCTCCGGTGATACACCCCTGGAGGGGCAGAGGGGGAGTGAAGTTGAGAGGAGAAACGCTCCACTCTCAGCATTTCTGACAGCAATGCGACAAGCTTTTGAGGGTTATCAACAAACAGCAGGAGCAGGTGCTGCACACCCGACCGAATCCCGGTCTCAGTGGGTTCTGAGTCAGAACTCCTCATTCAAAGAGTCACGGGTCAGAACCGTTTCATCCAGACCTTTAGAAACATTCACTCTCGGCCAGACTAGTTTCTATATACTTACACTGAGGCGGGGGGAAAAATTCAACAATAACAACATCCATGTCATATCCTATATCTTTGGTGCTTTGTTATTATGTATTTGTAATTAATTCATTTATTTTTTATTCTTTTATTTATTCCTGTATCGACATCAAAATCAATAACAATGTTCTTTTAATAAATCATTCTTACACAGCAATATTTAAAGAAAAATGTATATACACTATATATATATACATTATATATGTATATATATATATACACACACACTAAATATAACATTAGTATATATATAGACAGCAATATTTTTATTTATTTATTTTTTCAAGGTCTACTGACTACAGAGGTATTAGGGCTACAAATTATTTTAGGATTTTCTTATATTTATTCCTATAATAAATATGCAGTGAGATAGATATGTACAAACATACATGGAGAATATATACATACATACACAGAGAAATGTTAGAAATTTGTTAAAATGTTAAAATGCCTAGAAATTATTTAAAAAAAGGAGTGAAAGAGTATTATTATTGAAAGAGTATTATTATTATTATAATTTATGAGTGTATAAATATGACTGAATGTGTTACAATTAGTGCTGTCGCGATTAATCGCGATTAATCGCATCCAAAATAAAAGTTTTTGTTTACATATATGTGTGTATACTGTGTATATTTATTATGTACATATAAATACAAACACAAGCATGTATATACGGTATTTAAGAAAAATATGTTATGTTTATGTATTAAATATGGTTATGTATAATATAAAATATAAGAATATAAATATATAAATGTATATAGATGTAAATATTTTCAAAATATATACTGTATGTGTGATAATAATAATAAAATGAGGTTATGTTCCTGAAAAAAAAAGTCTTTGTTTAGGCATGTCAGCAATATGTTGAGTTCCTAATATTTAGATACAAACAGGGTGCGAATTAGCCTATAGACTGTCTTTTTGTTTTGACCCCAAAAGACAGTCAAAACAAAAGGCTGGGGGTGGCTTGCGTGTTCTTTTTACACACAAATACATTTCAATAGTGTTTTTAATCGCCTCATTAACCACAAAAGCTAAAGGACGAGTTAGTTAGAGCTGGTATTTTCACCTCTCGGCGAACAGGCGGCGCTAGCGAACGGAATAGCACGTTTACCTGAGGAGGTTAGTAACGTAACACGACGCTTTTTCCCGTAGCCGTTATAATCGGTCTGAACTTTAACAAACATGACCAATAAGCATTTATGGTTTCGGTAGAGATTTAAATCAGAAATATAATGTTTCTAAAAACATTAACATTTGAGCCATGTTGTTTTAAAAGTCTAAATGACGCGTAGTTAACTATTAGATTTCCTCTGTCATGCTCGCGAACAGAAGACGCTTGATCACTTGTCAATTTATTATAGATTTAACATATCACAAGTAGGTTATATAACAAAACCATTAGTGGTTTGTATACAAAAAAAAATGTTTAAGATAGATAAACTATTTCCGGGTAAATTGCCAGCAGGAAACCATTCAAAAATAAAACCAATCTGGACACAAACATGAAACAAAAATGTTTAAATGATGTTTTCCCGTATTTGTAGAATTCTTTTCAAACGAAATCAAATGTGCTGCAATGCACTTGGATTGCAGTTACGGTATTTAAGAAAAATATGTTATGTTTATGTATTAAATATGGTTATGTATAATATAAAATATAAGAATATAAATATATAAATGTATATAGATGTAAATATTTTCAAAATATATACTGTATGTGTGTGTATTTATATATACATAAATATACACAGGACACAGGACATATATGATGTAAACAAAAACTTTTATTTTGGATGCGATTAATAGCGATTCATCGTTTGACAGCACTAGTTACAATAAAGAGTTTGAAGCTCTAAAATAAGCATCCTTCTGTTTAGCAAGAAGATTTCTGTTACAAAAACCACATACAGAAATATAGAGGCTGCAATCTGACTCTTTCACTATAATTAGTTACGTGAATAAAAAAACATTTATGAATCATTGGAAATGTATTCCCATGTATAACAGAGTGAGCGCATGAATTCATTACTGAGGGGGGATACCATTATTTTAAACGTATTTTGCTTCAGTGAATTTTCCATTTGTCCCTGAATAGCGCAGCCAATGTTGAGTCATTTATCTTAGTCGGAGTGCAGAGGCTGGAGAGAGGGGAGGGCTTTCCAACACATAAATATATATATAAAAATAATTCACTTCAAGAACTAAGCTGGAGGTCATGTACAGGACATTTGCATAAAGCAGGGCCACAAGATTACAGCAAGGAGTGTGAGGGGCTTTACCATTAAAACATCCCCTAAGAGTCTATTCTAAAGAACACAATACAATTTCCTATTACACCCTATGAAACATCCATGACAATAGGAGCATTTTAAAAATGAATATGCATGTAATTTTAGACGGGTTTGGATATTTCTGACAAAGTGGCATCAGAGCATTAGAACGACTGGGTTTTTCTTTGTTTCTGAACAAAGAACTGTCCATGGTTCTGAAATCATCACATATAATACTGCAAAGCAAACTGTACAAGTGTACAAACTCTCTCACCTGTAGGTCAGGGTTCTCCTCATGCTGGAGATGAGCTTCTTCTGCCGCTTCTACGAGCCTCTACAGATGACAGAGAAAACAGCAGAAACTAGGATGATTGATGGCAACACACAAAGATTTCATCTTGATGGGCTATGAGAGCTTTCAGAGATGCAGACATTTGTGATGATGAGCCTCTAACTACATGAAAACACATTTTATAACTTTCATATATTTCATCAATAAGTCATTAACAAATATACTATATATTATAATGCTTATCTGATCATAAGTTAACATGCTTTCAAAATTCCTTTGATTATATATGAACTCATATATTGACTTTCAATAATAAACTGACCCTGAGCAACATTCACCAGAGAATAAAAGTGACAACCCCAGTCATAAAGAATTATGAATTAAATAGTCATTCTGAATTATTTATGAAAGTAATTGTATAAGGCGACCTCTTTAAAGTAAAAACTAAAGAGTTTAGTTTACCTGCTGCTTGCAAACAGATATATCACATGGCGGTCTGTTGCCTTGCGGCAAACACAATGTTGTGTGTGTGTAGGACAGTGTATGTTTTGTTGTCATTGAAAACTGCTGGCATGCATTTTTAGTTACATGCCGGTATAATTGCTTCCAATCCACAAAGCGCTTTAGGAAAAAGAATTAATACTTGTCGCATTTCGAGGAAATTATAGCAACATAACCAAAAATTAGGCTTTGTGCCAATTTATAAACACCCACTAGAAATATAAGCCAAGCTGCTCTGTAAAACATAATAATAATAAAATGAGGTTATGTTCCTGAAAAAAAAAGTCTTTGTTTAGGCATGTCAGCAATATGTTGAGTTCCTAATATTTAGATACAAACAGGGTGCGAATTAGCCTATAGACTGTCTTTTTGTTTTGACCCCAAAAGACAGTCAAAACAAAAGGCTGGGGGTGGCTTGCGTGTTCTTTTTACACACAAATACATTTCAATAGTGTTTTTAATCGCCTCATTAACCACAAAAGCTAAAGGACGAGTTAGTTAGAGCTGGTATTTTCACCTCTCGGCGAACAGGCGGCGCTAGCGAACGGAATAGCACGTTTACCTGAGGAGGTTAGTAACGTAACACGACGCTTTTTCCCGTAGCCGTTATAATCGGTCTGAACTTTAACAAACATGACCAATAAGCATTTATGGTTTCGGTAGAGATTTAAATCAGAAATATAATGTTTCTAAAAACATTAACATTTGAGCCATGTTGTTTTAAAAGTCTAAATGACGCGTAGTTAACTATTAGATTTCCTCTGTCATGCTCGCGAACAGAAGACGCTTGATCACTTGTCAATTTATTATAGATTTAACATATCACAAGTAGGTTATATAACAAAACCATTAGTGGTTTGTATACAAAAAAAATGTTTAAGATAGATAAACTATTTCCGGGTAAATTGCCAGCAGGAAACCATTCAAAAATAAAACCAATCTGGATACAAACATGAAACAAAAATGTTTAAATTATGTTTTCCCGTATTTGTAGAATTCTTTTCAAACGAAATCAAATGTGCTGCAATGCACTTGGATTGCAGTGGTATAAATTGCATTAACTCCCTTCAAATCCGACAAACGTGTACATTTATTTCGCATAAATACGCGCGTGCATTTTATAAAATCAGTATGCGGTTGAAAGCTACAAATGCATGAGGTGTATTTCATGGGTTTTACCTTTCATGGCAAACCGACTCCATTGCATCATAAAGTGACAGTGTGTATCTGCAGGAGTTAGATAAGCCTATCTCCTCCACACACTCCACACACACAGGCAATTAAAGCCTGGACCGCTTGTGTCCCTCTGAAGAATAACGGCATGAGCTGGTTGTAACGGGAACAGCTATATGTTCTTCCATATAGAAGAGAGAAGCTTTAATCGAGAGGATTTTTATACGGTAGTAATAAATAAAGCTGTTGCGGCTGCAGCATCTAAGACAATAGACGAGTGATGGAAAATGCTGACTGAAACAATAGGAATTCATGCAAAAATCGTCAAATAACTCGAAAAATAGCTTATAATAATACAAATCATTCCAAATTATATGAACAAAAATATTAAGCGTACGCTAAGGCTATTAGTTTAAAAATAAAACGGAAGTCGCCAGCAGAACATATTCAGTTTTTTCCCCCACTTAAGTTACTTACTCGTGTGGCCTCCGCTTTTTTCCGAAATATTTCCTCCATATTCTGCGCCACATTTTTCACCAATTTTGCGCCGTCGATCTCCTCTGTTCGCACCGACTTCTCATATTCCTTGTATTTCTAAAGAGAAATAAATGGGTCATATTACGCAATGAGTTTACGCACGACAGACATTTTACTACTTTTTGTGACAGTGTATTCAAGACTGGATGATATTTTGTGGATTAAATAATTCTTTGAACAGTACAAACAGCTTTAAATACTTTTAAATATAACGCAACTGTTTTCTGTAATTTAACATATCAAATAAAGCAATACTTGAAATAGGCCTATCTATTTTAATGCAGCAATTGTCTGGTAATAGTCAAAGTATTGCATGTATTAGAACATTTAATACAAAAAAATATCTCAGACAAGCAAATTGGAAACATTAGGCTGTAACAAAAAAGTAGCAAATAGAAATTAAATAACTAATTTAACTGCATTCATATTTGCACTCTTTAATGCAGCAGATCATTTTATTCTTTACGTCTATTGATGCTATTTGTGTGTGTGTGTGTGTGTGTGTGTGTGTGTGTGTGTGTGTGTGTGTGTGTATAGAGGTTTCTTCTCCATTGGGGCATTTGGTAGTAAAACCTGAAGAAAAAAATATTATAAAAATACTAAATGATGCTTATCTAAAATGTAAAAATGCAGAAAGGGTTCTGTAAGGGGTAGTGGATAGACTATCATTAAAAAAACAATAGAAGTCTACGGCAAGTCCCCAGAAAGATAGCTTTACAAGTGTGTGTGTGTGTGTGTGTGTGTGTTTCACATTGAAGAATTTTAAATAATCTCAATGGACACTTTATAAATCTTTGCTTTGTTAATCTCTATAGAAAATCCTAAAACTAATATCTCCTTCAAAGATCTTAAAAATTCAGACATAATACTTAAACTAAACTTCACCAAATCAACACATTTAGCACAAGTAGTGCTAATGATGATGGTGGGGGACAAAATAATCATCTATTCCTTTGGTCTAATGGATAGTGTGATACCTCCAAACATGAGTTCAACAGATCATTGGCAGCATGACAAGTTAATTTGTCTGTGATCAGTAAATAGTGAAACAGTGATGAACTGGGACACTTAGACGTATGCAAATCTGAAGGAGGCAGTCATGTGTGGCTGTGGAAGAGGGACGAGACAAACAGAGAAAAAAAAAAAAATGACGAGATGCAGTGATGGAGAGACTGGGACGGTAAGAAGAGGCCTCTACAAGTCTCCATGACCTACGGTTTGCATTGTCTCTGTGTTAATACAGCTGTCGGTCTCATTCGAGTTGGTGCCACAAGTCTTCAGATAAGCGTGCTGTCCTGCGCCTCTCTCTGACAGTGGCTGCTCTGATTGGCTGATAAGACAAATCCTCTAGATAACGAGCTCAATCTTGTCACCGTAATTGGTGGAACTGCTGCTGCAGTGTGTATTATTGGTGGAGGCAGAGTGCTGTGGGTGGGCTGCTTTGGGGAGGCTGGGCGGGGCTTGTCGAAAGGGCCACACATTGTTGGAGGGTAATTGAAATGGAGTCAGAATTCAGGAGAAAGATAATAAGTTGTCAAGCCTGGGCGAGTCTGGATAATGAACTACACTTCAGACAATGCTGAGTCTGCAGTACAAGCGACACCTGAAGCAACAGCACTCAATGGGCATTGTGATATTAGACTATTCAAACACACTCAGGCATCGACGCCTGCAGGCTTACACCACTCCACCTGAAAAAAAAGCCTTTCTGATAAAAATACGTTTCTAGAAAGAAAAATGGATAAACATACATATTTCTCTCATGTCTCATTACATAAATCACATAAACACACACACACAAACACACACAAAAAAATAACTAAATCCTATAACGTAACACAGTTCTTTCTACTTAAAAAAAGTTTTCAGACAAAAACATATTATTTCCAGTAGGCACAACGTATATATAATTTTTATCTACTTTTATCAAGACAACAGGAAATAAATTCTCTGAAAACACACAGACGCGCACATCTTAGATCCAAAAATGTGTCCCAGACAGCCCTTTTAACTTAAAAAAGGACTATTTGATAAAACAAAGTTTTCAGTAAGAAAAATGGAAAAGTACACATATCCCTCTCATGTCTTTTTTAAAGACAGGACATTAATCCCATGAAAATACCCTCCTGCACATCTCAGATCCCAAAACATGTTCCACACAGTCTCTTTAACTTTAAAAAAGGCCCTTCTGAAAGAAAGAAAGAAAGAAAGAAAGAAACAAGCATACATCTCTCAGTTTTATTCTAAAAACAACAGGACCTAAATTAAAAAAAAAAGAAAAATCCCTGTAAGTGAAATAATCTCACCCCTGCCCCCCTTTAAAAAAAAAACAAAAAAAGACAACAGGACATCACATTGCATGAAAACACATACTCTGGCACATCTCAGATCCCACGACATGTTTCTAACAGCGACACCCCCCTCCACACACACAGATCGCAGCACCACGCAGAAAATTACCCCTTTAAGAGAGAGACCATGGAGGGTTACTGAGGCGGAACAGTTCATTTCCACTCCACCTGAAAAAAAAGCCTTTCTGATAAAAATACGTTTCTAGAAAGAAAAATGGATAAACATACATATTTCTCTCATGTCTCATTACATAAATCACATAAACACACACACACAAACACACACAAAAAAATAACTAAATCCTATAACGTAACACAGTTCTTTCTACTTAAAAAAAGTTTTCAGACAAAAACATATTATTTCCAGTAGGCACAACGTATATATAATTTTTATCTACTTTTATCAAGACAACAGGAAATAAATTCTCTGAAAACACACAGACGCGCACATCTTAGATCCAAAAATGTGTCCCAGACAGCCCTTTTAACTTAAAAAAGGACTATTTGATAAAACAAAGTTTTCAGTAAGAAAAATGGAAAAGTACACATATCCCTCTCATGTCTTTTTTAAAGACAGGACATTAATCCCATGAAAATACCCTCCTGCACTTCTCAGATCCCAAAACATGTTCCAAACAGTCTCTTTAACTTTAAAAAAGGCCCTTCTGAAAGAAAGAAAGAAAGAAAGAAACAAGCATACATCTCTCAGTTTTATTCTAAAAACAACAGGACCTAAATTTAAAAAAAAAAGAAAAATCCCTGTAAGTGAAATAATCTCACCCCTGCCCCCCTTTAAAAAAAAAACAAAAAAAGACAACAGGACATCACATTGCATGAAAACACATACTCTGGCACATCTCAGATCCCACGACATGTTTCTAACAGCGACACCCCCCTCCACACACACAGATCGCAGCACCACGCAGAAAATTACCCCTTTAAGAGAGAGACCATGGAGGGTTACTGAGGCGGAACAGTTCATTTCACGCCTGTCCTGCCTCCCCACCCTCACCCTCTGTCCCGGCACCAAAAAAGCCATAATCAAAGCCATTAATGCTGCGTTCATCAATAGTGATGATCACCCCACTGATTCCAAACACTGTAGCGAAACAGTCCCGGGGAGTAACTGGACAAAAGCGTTAAACATTAACAAGGTTTTTTCTATCATATTCTCAAGATGCCACAAAATGATTGACTGTAAAGATGCTTAATGGTAATGTATTTGTACAATCTGTTATTTTGTTGCGGCAATGTGGAAATTTCAGTGATTGAAAGCAACAAAGAGTCACATCTGTATGGCTGTTACCCCCCCCCCCCCTCCCCCCCTTGTGTAAAAATTAGGTAATTTTGCATAACAAGCTTAATGATCAGTCTTAACGATCCTCCTTAATGAGCCAGCCTGCTGCCTCATCCCTCCCTTTCTGCTTCCAGCTCTTCAGACAGACAGTTTATTGGCGCTGAGCCCCGCCCATCGGTCACGCCCTCTGAGCAGGATGATGGGGAAACGTGCAAACATATGCAGAAATGGCAATGAAGAGAGAACACAACTGGCTTGGACATTTTACAATGTGTTTACAAAGATAATTTTGGGTGGGATGGTAGAACAAGTTCATTATTGAAGTTTATAACTGAATTAAGAACAGAGTTCTATCATAAACATTCACCTTAAAGGGACAGTTCACGCAAAAACGAAAATTGTGTCATTATTTACTCATCCTTACGTCATTCTAAATCCAAATGCTGTGTTTTTCATGAGAAACTGAATAATAGATAAACAGTGTTACTGTAACTGATTACATGTAATTTAGATTACACAATCAGATTCCAGAAATTACTTGTAAGAACTTGTAATTCAATTACATTACTTTTTAAAATACTCATAATTAGATTACTTCTTAATTGATTACATGTTATTCACGCAATGGCAATTTGTTCATAATTTATTCTCCTAATTGATCATTTCTTTGAAATCTTTATAAATATATAGATATAAAAATCATTCTGAAGCCTATATCAAATTGGCACAAGATTATCCTTCCATGTGACAAACAAATTAGGTCAAAAGAAATCTAAAAGTAATTAATAAACAGTCTTACCTAAAATGTGTAATCTAATACATTGTTATTGACTACACTTTATGTTATGTAATTTGAAATCAGTAACAGATTATAATTTGATTAGCATTTATAAGCAGTGTTGGTGAGTAACTAGTTACATGTAATGGAATTACGTAATTTAATTACAAAATAAAAGTAATTGTAATCAGTTACAGTTACTAAGAAAAAATATATAATTAAATTACAGTTACTTATGAAAATGTTAAGGATTACAAAGGGGGTTACATCAGATTTTTTTCACAAACACTCCCACATACATATTTAATTGAGTTCTTTCATAAATTGCAGTGACTGCTCTAAAATATGAAACACCAATGTTTCAGAAGGTTATAACATGCTTATCCGATAGGGTTTATGTATATGCTTTATTTTTTTAAGATCAACAGTTTTTTCTAAGGCATTGTTAGATTCCAGTGTTTCCTGTCTATGAATGAATGTCTATAAATGATTTTAAAGTAAGTCTGATTTTGTGGTGGCTGTGTTTCAAAGGGGACATCGGATGCCCGTTTTACACAGGGTTTATGTATATGCTTTATTTTTTTAAGATCAACTGTTTTTTCTAAGGCATTGTTAGATTCCAGTGTT